TTATTCATTATTTTTATAGAAGAATACAACTTTATAGAAGAGTTGCAATTATATTACATTTACACTAAAAGTAACGAATTAGTAATTTTGTTAATATTTTTTTAAATATTTCAATAGAAATATTTCTATTATAATTTAGTATCATAATAACACGCATAAAATATCATCACAATATTATATTTAAACGGTACTTTATTTTTGTCATATAAGTACATAATAGTGTCAGTGAAAAAGCAAATATTCCTTGAGTAAAGAATCGAACATTTTATACGCTAACTGTCACGCAATCATTGTTTCATCGCATTCTTCGTATTCTGCATTTACGTCATTATGACGCGTGACACTTGCAATTTTTAAGTTGGTCTTTGAAAGATCCTTTTCGAACCCAACAAACATTCTTTACTACAATAATGTACTTATAAAATTTTACAATATGAAACATTGTATTTTCAACATTTATAGTTGCAAATACATATCTTCGTTTAAGTTAAATTTAATTTAAATATATAAATAATAATATAAATTTAAATAATATAATAATTTGAAGTTAATTTAATTTCAAATATATTTTGTTCATTTCTATGGCTTGGCTATAGCGCGACACATTGTCGCCATTTTTTAAGCAAAAGCAAATTGTTTTCAAACGGCAACTGAGTTATCCGATCATGACCTTCGATGTTCTATGCATCATTCAGTTTAGCTCAACGATATTATCGCTATTATGTATGGAAGCAATACCTCCTTTATACTGTGAATAAAATCAAAACGAATGAATATCAATTTCTTCTGAACATGTACGTAATTAATATTTTCAAAATATTTCCATCTTAAATCTATCAGTAAAATCTTTTCTAACATAGTGATATGTGAATAATTGAATGAATAAAGATATATAAATAATATTCAGCGATATATGAATTTGAAATTGTATAAAATATAGTATATTACTGTATATTACAGTAACTAACTCAGGTTAATACTTCAATAATTTAGATTTTATAATATTATGAAATGACTTACAACTAATATAATTTTACAAATAAATATAATTTCTACAAATTGATCCATATATTTAAAAATAGATGAATATATTAGAAACTAAATATATTTATAAATCCATGGAGGTTTGAGATCTGTATTAAAGTTGAAATCATTCATTCTGTGTAGAAAAATGATATAGAAATTGATTTAAAGCTTTCAAATAGAAATCTATTTAAAAGTAATCAATTTTGTAATCTACATAACAAAGATAACAACTTTTACTAAACATTTGTCTTTAAAATTAGGAGAAATGCGCCCGCGTGCGCATGCGCATGCATTATAGATGGTAGGTAAATATACTATTTTTAATTATTTTATTAATATAAAATGAAAAATATTGTTCAAGAAATTTTAATTTTAAATATAATCATACATCTTTATTCATATACTTGTGACACTATGACATATATTATAAAACTACTTTTCTGAAACATCAATCTTAATCATTGATGTTTCATGAAAATGAAAAATTCTATCATAGATATTAAAATTGATTAAATTACATAATATTCATTTACATACATTCATCTTTTATTATAAAAATCAACTTAAAAACCAGTAATGGTTATAAAAAGCAAAAAACAATATTGTGGAAGCAGAAATTTTAACAATGCTAATAATTGTATTACTTTAACAAAAGGTAGTTAAATACAATAATTATAAAATTAGATAAGATAAGAAAAAAGTTTTAATATGTTTTAAATATTTCAAATGAGCAATAAAATTTTAAGAAATTTATAACTGATCAATGTAATAAACAATGCTATCAATCACAAATTGTTGTTTATACTAAACAAATTACATTTTAAGAGAGAATATATATTTTGTACGCTAAATTCTTTACATAAAACATAATTCACATTTTATTAGAATTTTATTGACAAAAATTAACAAATAGTAAACTATTGTTCTAATTCTATACTTTTCATTATCATAAACAAATTGTTTTCATGTATGTATCACATACATATGAAAAAACATATTAATTCACAAAATAAAAAACATCAGTTTCTCTGATAATTTGAAATTAACATATAAAATTAATAAGAATTAGTGTTCGAAAGATTAAATTGTATAATATGTTAAATATATGTTATATAATAACATAAATATAATGTAAGAATGTTACTAATATGTAGGTTATTAATATTCATCTTCATCTTTTTAAAGTAATATATGATGAATGCTTAGTAAATGAAACAAATGGAAATGTATATTCTTTAAAATAATTAATATATTAAATTTATTGGACATCTGCTCTTTTTTTTCTTATCTACCATAGACACTCTAATTGTATAGCATTATTTGCACAGCAATCAATGCATGACAAATTTAATAAATAAACGTATGTTTAAATTATGTAATAAATATGATGACATAATTAATTTAATATATTATAATATAGTTAAGAACAAATAAATTTGAAAAAATGAATCAAAGATAATAATAAAAAAATCAATATATAATTTTTAAAATGATCCAACATTTTTATTCAAAATTGATTTTTACTTTTTAATAATATTTATATAGAAGTACTTAGGCATAAAATATGTTTTATATCTTCAATCTAAAAAACTAAAACTACATCGAGAAACTTCCGTCATAACATTCTACAAAACTTTTTTTTATACGTTTCCTCGATCGATGATCTTCACGTACGAATCTACTAATACTACTACCATCGCTAATTACTACCACCTGTTGCAATGCACCTTTACACTTACCTGAAAAATTGTTTTTAAACGATGAAAATCTTAACTGAGTATTTGGTGTACTGCTTTAAAGAAATTTTGTCTCGGTAAAAATTGAAGGCAATCAATGACCACGTGACAACACTTCTTTTTCAATTCGGTTTCTCGTTTAGTACGTTGCACTCGCGCAAAAACAATATACTGCACTAGTTTTATCACTATGAAAAATTCATTATACGTGACAGCGCATGTGTGACAGACAAATTGACATTTACCATATAAAATGATTTCTTCTGTCTAATCGTTATTACCGACTCTATCTCTCGAACCTGTCAGTAAAACGTACTTTTTTCCAGTTGCACGAAGTATCGAGAAGGACAGAAGAATACAAAGAAGGAAGAAAGATTCTCGGATGAGTCCATTTACAATACGTAGCCGGAAGGTTACTTTAGGCGCGGTTTATTTGAACAATGCTACAATCATTGTATTGTTTTATCATAAAACACAAATTTCCCATCTAATAATGAATTTCATGAAATGTAATTAAAAAATTGTTAAATAAAGTTGGATGATGTACTATGAAATGAATTTTAGTATTTTTCTTATTTGTATAAAAGCAATTAAATATATATATAACATTACAAAATTTAATTTAAAGCAATTTTTAATTTATAATTCCATTATATCTTGATTTAATATATCTTGTTAATCATAATTTAATTTGAAATTACATTTATAATAGGAGTCGAAATAAATGTAATCAAATGAAATAAATCATCGATATTTAAACAATAATAAATTTCATTTTATCTTATTATTTATTAATATACTAAAAAATCTTTTCCGATACTTTTATTAAAAATAATTTACTTTTATTGAATTGCTTGAAATAAATATTAGTAAATTGAATATTGATACCTTATATTTAATATTCATTTATAATGGCTATATAAGATATATTTGTATGTTAATATTATAATATTACATATTTTATGAATTTCTATATAGGTATAAAAGAATTGTTTAATTATGAATTACAAATAATTATATATTGCAAAACACGAAATACATAATGTAAACTGTTAATATCTCACCTACTTCCTTTTTATTAAAATTTTAGTATTTCATGTATTACATACACGAACGAGTTTTTTTTTTATGAATTGTTGAGAAACTTTATATTACATTTAATATAATGTACATATACAATATATACGTAGTATTCAATTATTCAATTCATAATGAACAATTAAAGCATGTATTCCTTCTTTTTCTTGTTTTAATTCTTTCCC